GATGCGTCTGCGTTCCGTGTCTGGGGATCTTGGGCGTTTGTCCGCGACTTGTCTGCGGACAAGCTGTCCCCTCGTGCTGCTCCCTGTGTCTTCCTTGGCTTCCCCACTGACGCCCCAGGGTGGCAGTTTTACCACCCCTCCTCTCGTCGTGTTCTGTCCTCCCAGGACGTCACGTTCGACGAGTCAGTCCCCTTCTACCGCCTCTTCCCCTACCGTACTCCCTCCCCCCCCCCTCCCCCGGACTTCCTGGTGCCGCTTCCCCCCCCGGTAGACCCCCTTCCCCCTCAGGTTCCTGCCCCCTCAGGTGTGTCCCAGGTAGACGCCGTTGACCCTGTCGAGGTTACTGGTGACTCTGGTGCTGCTGCGGGTGCTGAGCCTGGGGGTGCTGACTCTGGGGGTGCTGTGCGCGAGGGAGCTGAGCCTGAGGGTGCTGGGCCTGGGGGTGCTACTGCGGAGAGTGTGGAGCCTGGGGGTGCTGAGCCGGGGGGTGCTGTGCCTGGAGGTGCTGGGTCTGGGGGTGCTGAGCTGGGAGCTGCTGAGCCTGGGGGTACTGCGTCTGGAGCTGCGGAGCCTGGGGGTGCTACGTCTGGAGCTGTTGAGCCTGGGGTCTCTCCTGCTGCGCCTCGCCGGGAGCCCCTCTCTCCACTGGAGCTGCGCGAGTGGTTCGCTCGCCGCTGGAGGCGTGCTGCTGAGTCTAGGGGTACTGCTGGAGCTGGAGTTGGTGCTTCTTTGCCCGCCGAGGGTGCTGGTGCTGCCGGTCCCGGAGCTGCTGGGCCTGCGGGTCCTCCTGGAGCTAGAGCTGCTGAGGGTGTTGGTGCTGAGACTACTGCTGTTGGTCCTGCTGCTGGAGGAGTGGGTGACGCTGGTGCTGTTGCTGAGGGTGCTGGTACTGTCCCTGCTGCGTCTGGAGCTGCCGCGCGGCCTCGGCCGTACTTCGTTCCGCTCCTACAGCAGGTTCTTGGTCTTTCTTCTTCGGTAGAGTGTCCCCAGCCTGTCCAGTCGCAGTCACTGTTGGAGCCTTCCTCTCCTCTGCCTGCTCCCTCCCCTTACACTGGTCCTACTGGAGGTCTTGCTGAGCGTCGTGAGCCTGCGTCTCGTCCCGCGTCGCCGGTTCGTGCTGCTCGCGCTAGTGGTCGCGGTTCGCGTCAGCGTCCTCCTCCTGTCCCTGGCACGCACCGGATGTCTCTGCGTCCGTCCACTGCTCCTCTGCGTGCCCCTTTGCCTTCTCCTCCTGAGTCCTCTCTTCCTGCGCTTGCCGACCCTGAGTCGGACTCTCTTCGTGCTGCCAGTCCTACTGTCACGCGTCTGCTTGCTACTGTCGTCACTGACCCCTCTTTTGAGTCCACTGCTACGTCTGCTCTTGTCGCTGAGCTCGTCGACTTTGCTGCTCGCTGTCGTCTCGACTACGCTGCTAGTCTTGTTGCTGAGTCTGCGTCTGTCTGTCCTCCGTCCGTCGGGGGTGAGTGTGCTCTTGGCACGGACGTCCTAGAGGACAGGCAGGAGGAGTTACAGTGTCTAGCGGCTGCTTCACCTCATCTCGCGTCTGTACTGCTTGCCCCTGAGGGAGACCCGGATGCACTTGACATCCCGACTCCGCGTTCTTACGCGGAGGCCGTAGAGGGTCCCTACTCCTCTCAGTGGCAGGCAGCTATGGATGCAGAGATGGCTTCCTGGAAGTCCACAGGCACCTACGTTGACGAGGTTCCCCCTCCTGGGGCGAACATCGTCAGTGGCATGTGGATCTTCCGGGTGAAGCGGCCGCCGGGCTCTCCACCTGTCTTCAAGGCGCGGTACATTGCTCGTGGCTTCAGTCAGCGGCAGGGAGTGGACTACTTTCAGACCTTCTCTCCCACCCCGAAGATGACTACTCTTCGGGTGCTGCTGCACATAGCCGCTCAGCGCGACTACGAGCTTCACTCTCTCGACTTCAGCACTGCGTTCCTGCAGGGTAGCCTGCACGAGGAGATCTGGCTGCGCCGTCCGCCTGGCTTCACTGGGACTTTCCCTCCTGGCACCCAGTGGAGCCTCCGACGGCCAGTCTACGGTCTCCGCCAGGCACCGCGTGAGTGGCACGACACACTGAGGACTACGCTTGCGGCTCTTGGGTTTGCTCCTTCTACTGCTGACCCGTCGCTGTTTCTGCGCACCGACACTTCTCTGCCGCCGTTCTACATCCTCGTGTACGTCGACGACTTGGTCTTTGCCACAGCGGACACTGCTGGACTCGCCTACGTGAAGTCCGAGCTGCTGAAGAGACACACGTGCACAGACCTGGGTGAACTGCGCAGCTACCTTGGCTTGCAGATCACTCGGGACAGAGCACGCCGCACCATTACCTTGACCCAGTCACACATGGTGCAGCAGGTCCTTCAGCGCTTCGGCTTCACGTACTCCTCGCCTCAGGCCACTCCTCTGCCTACTCGCCACTCACTCTCAGCTCTGCCTTCGGATGAGTCCGTAGAGTCGAGTGGTCCGTATGCAGAGCTTGTTGGCTGCCTCATGTACCTGATGACCTGCACACGACCTGACCTTGCATACCCTCTGAGCATTCTTGCACGCTATGTTGCTCCTGGTAGACACCGACCAGAGCACATGGCTGCAGCGAAGAGGGTATTGCGCTACCTGTGCAGTACGTCGGGCATGGGGCTAGTGCTTGGAGGGCGGAGTCCAGTGGTCCTTACAGGCCACGCGGACGCTTCTTGGGCTGACGACCAGGCTACGCAGCGGTCGTCGCATGGTTACACCTTCAGCCTTGGTTCCGGCTCTGTCTCGTGGCGGTCTACTCGCTCGTCTTCGGTTCTCGGCTCCAGTTGTGAGGCTGAGATCTACGCCGGGGCCATGGCTGCACAGGAGCTTCGCTGGCTCACCTACCTGCTGACTGACTTTGGAGAGCCGCCTCGTTCTCCTCCAGTGCTGTACGTAGACAACAAGGCCATGCTGGCCTTGTGTCGAGAGCAGCGCTTGGAGCACAGAACGAAGCACATTGCTCTCCGCTACTTCCTTGCTCGTGAGCTGCAGCAGCGTGGTCAGTTGCGACTTGCGTACGTGGCCTCTGAGGCCAACACTGCTGATGTGTTCACCAAGGCACTTGCGCCTTGTGACCATCAGCGCTTTTGTACCCAGCTGGGTCTTGTGCCTGTCTTGCCTCACTTGCTCTCTTCTTGACTTTACTTGTACTGTGACATATATATACCTGCTCTTGCTTGTCTTGCTTTATATATATGTCTGTACACTTGCATGTGAACTGGCCTTTGGCCTTGCTCTTGTGCTCGGACTGTGTGGTGACTTTGTGATCCACCCCGAGCTTGCTTTGCTTTGCTTGACTGGTCTTGTGACCCCTTGTTCTCCCCCACTTTGCCTATGGGGGTGTGTCAGAACATATAGCTTACCTGTTTGTGTAGGCTACAGCGGGGTATCCCATAGGGGGTACAACCCAATTAGGGTTTGCCATTTGTACTCATTTCTGACTTAGTCATTTCATTCCTCTGCTCATTTCTTTCACACCCGAGTATGTGCGCGCCTTCCATCATCAGCTCGAACTCGAACGACCAGGTGAAGAATTCCTTTCCATCGAAGGGTCTTGACGTCTGCATCTTCAGAACGTGTATGAACTGTGACTAAACTTGTAATGCGTCCAGTGATTTTTCTTGTCCAGGTGAAGGCTGTGGGTCTGGCGTAAAGCTGATGGACCCGCGCTCGTACGGAGCAAAGGTGGGCTGCTGTTGTTGATTTCCTCGTGCATATGATGAGCCGTCGAGACTCATGGGTGTTGCTCCGTTGTTGTTACTGTTGTGTGACTACGCAGGTGCCGATTGCTGGTGTTGCTCGTAGAAGGACATGAAGGAGAAAAACTTCTCCATCATGCTCTGGTCGAAGTCTGCAGGTTGATTCGCGGGAGTCTCGGTAGATGTTGCTCTGGGTCTTGTTGCCGTGCCCTCCTCTGTCTGTAGGCCAGAGGCAGGAGGTGGAGTAGGAGTAGGGCCCTGGGAGCCGTTGGAGTTGCTCCTTTCCTTTTGTGTAGCCATGCTGATTGATGTTGTCGGTGTAGAAGTTGAATTCCCCTTGATTGCTCTCATACCATGTTGGGCTGAAGAAACCCTTAGGATCTTTGCAGGGGTGAACTCTGGGTAGAGTTGGTGTAGTAGCGGAAGTGTTAATAAAGAGTTGTGAACCACCTTGCACTAGTATGTGAGGGCAAAATAAGTTAACTAAAACAAAGAGATACATGATTGTATGAGAGTACAAGGAATACGAAGAGATACGATTATAACTACTTTACTGTTGCTGTTGCGGTTCGATACAGTGACGACTCGGGCAACTACTCTGTAGCGAGTCAGTTGTGTGTCCTTGCTGTCGTGCTGTACTTGTCAGATCAAAGGTCGCTGACCTTTGACTTTCGCGTAACCTCTAGCAACCGCTCAACCTCCGAGGGTTGACTCGCCGGTGCTTTGATATACTTCGCTTCGCTTCTGACTTGGTGTTTCGACACGACAGAGGCGCTTAGGACCGATTGTTTCCAACACACACAAGTCATGTTTCAACCTTCACAAAATTGCCACAAAACAGAAAAATGCACACACATTCCCTTCACAAGTTGACAGAAAGAACCCGCAAATGATATTGATACATCCTACGGTCCACACCACATTGTCTGGCTGCTACAAGCTTGGACGAAGCAGCACTACACTGATAGCCCCCATGCATCAGTGCATGTGCTGCTGCATCCAAGCTCCGGCAATAACAACAAGCATGAAACCCCTAGGCTCTTGCATCGATGCCATTGCAACCCCTGCACCACTTGCAAATCTCTTGCGCTTCCCCATATGGTAAAGCCACCTAGTACCGGTACCAGTACCATAACTGAATTGAACTTCTTCTTTGGACCTTGAATACCCCATGCCTGTGCCCGTTCCATGAACCATGCATGCCTCGCATCAAGCAGAATATGAGCCTGGTCCGCCCATACCGCTTCCCATGTTGCCTCCAGGCCCTCCCATCCCTCAGCCCATTCCTCCTCCCATCCCTCCGCCCATCCCTTCGCCCATCCCTCCGCCCATCCCTCCGCCCATCCCTCCGCCCATCCCCCCTCCCCCCATCCCTCCGCCCATCCCTCCCCCCATCCCTCCGCCCATCCCTCCGCCCATCCCTCCCCCCATCCCTCCGCCCATCCCTCCCCCCATCCCTCCGCCCATCCCTCCGCCCATCCCTCCGCCCATCCCTCCGCCCATCCCAGGTCCACCCTGGCCGGGTGCTGCCTGCGACCCTGGAGCAAACCACGCTGACCCGCCCATGCCTCCGCTGCCCATTCCACTACCTCCCATTCCGCCGCCGCCCATTCCTCCGCCGCCCATGTTTCCCCCAGGACCCATGGCTGATTGCGATCCGGGAGCAGAGGAACCAGGTCCGCCCATGCCTCCTCCCATGCCGCTACCGCCCATTCCACCGCCGCCCATGCCGCCTCCGCCCGTACCGCCGCCGCCCATTCCTCCGCCGCCCATTCCGCCGCCACCCATGGTGCCGCCGCCCATTCCGCCTCCGCCCATTCCGCCGCCGCCCATGCCGTTGCCGCCCATTCTGCCGCCGCCCGTTCCGCCGCCACCCATGCCGCCGCGGCCGCCCATTCCGCCGCCACCCATGTTCCCCCCAGGACCCATGGCTGATTGCGATCCGGGAGCAGAGGAACCAGGTCCGCCCATTCCTCCGCCCATTCCGCCGCCGCCCATTCCGCCACCTCCCATTCCACCGCCACCCATGCCGCCTCCGCTCATTCCGCCACCGCCCATACCGCCGCCGCCCATTCCTCCGCCGCCCATTCCGCCTCCGCCAATTCCGACGCCGCCCATTCCGCCGCCGCCCATTCCGCCGCCGCCCATGCCGCCGCCGCCCATGCCGCCGCCGCCCATTCTTCCGCCGCCCGTTCCGCCTCCGCTCATTCCTCCTCCGCTCGTTCCACCACTTTGTTGTTGCTGCTGGCCGGTCGAACCTCCTTGCGCCCATCCGCGCATCATCCCGCGCAGTTTATCTGCGCGGAGCCCCGCGGAGAAGCGGAAGGCCATCGCCGCGTGGAGAGATGAGAGCAGGACGAGCGAGATGAGGAGAGGAGCCGTGCTCAGGTCACGGCGACGACGCTGGATCGACGAAAATGCCATTCTGCGCGATGCCTACGATGCAGCAAATATTCCAACGGAGAAGGAAACCCAGCTGTTCAGGAGAAATCTAGCTGCCCAGGAGCTTGGAAGTGAAGACAGGAAGCAGTTTCAGTAAGACTCGGAAAGCTTTGTCCTAACTTTAGGCTGAAGTGAAGTGAATCGAAATGAGGAAGACTGAATAAATGAGTTGCTGAATGCCGCATGCATTCTTGTACCCTCGTCGTGTCGCCAACACAAGGCAATGTTTTTGCACGGCGCGATGACTCATACTGTAAGGAATGGACCAATGAACAATCAGAGGCCGCTGGTGAGTCAAACTCACGAATTTTCAGTCAACGTCTCGCAAAACATGTTGACCACTGTAGCTTTCTTCACCCCGCTTCAAGAAATTGGAAGAAACTGGAATCCCGTTTTCAATCTGATCCGATATGAGGAGTATTCGTCTCTGTGAGTAGCGCAAGCATCGATTTCCGAATCTGGTTATCAATTTCACATTTGCACCAGTCATTTTAGTCCTTCCACAATCGAGAATGAATCTCTAATCAGCAACCTCAGTCTCGTAGTGACAGCGACAATCTGCTGATGGTGAGCACACCCTAAGGGCGTTACTTTCGGTGACGCGATCCGCGACTTGCCTTGCTCTACCAAGCTGACGTGGCAAAATGTCGAAGTCGCTCGGCGGCAGGGCAGGGGGGCTCAGAAACAAGGCGAGGACGCCGAGGACTTCCGACCGACCAAGAGAGCGAAATTCCATTTCGACGCCGCGCAGCGACTCCGCTGCCGCGTGCCCCGTCGCGTCATGCTTCAACAGTCGGGTTGTTGTGCTGACATGAAACTTTCTATTCCTCCTCCACCCATGCCGCTGCTGCGCGCCCCGTCGCGTCATGCTTCAACAGTACGTGGCAGAGAAGGGAGAGGAAAGAGGGGGGATGATGGTTTAGAGCGCATGCGCAGTAAGCCTCAAATGATCTCCAATGTCTCTCGTCTTTGAAAATTCTCCAAAAAAGCTCTCTCGTCGCATCGAAGCGCACACCCCGAGGACATCCACGTGTGATAAGTCGAGTTTTGAGTCAAATGTGTGATTTACAAACAGATAAGTCACGCACGCCCCGAGGACATCCACCCTCCCATGTCGTGCCGCTGCCTTGCTCCTCGCTGCAACTCGCAGACATGCGACTCGCATTGCGTGCAGCCTCGTTTCTTAGCTAGGCGATGGCGGTAGAGGGACAACAGCGAGATCAGCGCTCCGACACGCTTGCAGCTCCGCCATCCGCAGCTCCGCCACGCGCATATCTCCGCCACGCGAGCTTGTCAGCTTGCTGTCACCTGTGACCCGAGATTGCCACCGTGCTTGCCATGCATGTCGCAGTATATCCCCTACCCCCAGGCTCCCACCCCCCCTCCCCCTGCACCCCTCCCCCTGCGCCCCTCCCCCTGCGCCCTCCCCCTGCGCCTCTCCCCCTGCGCCCCTCCCCCTGCGTCCCCCTGCCCTGCACTGACCCTCCCTGCGCTCTCTCTCTCTCTCGCTCTTAGTGTCACCCCATACCTCCGCGTCTCATATCGTCCGCATCTCCCATTTCCGCGGCCGTCCTAGCCTCCCTAACCGGTCTGATCGGATCCAACGCCCGAACCGCTCAAACCTCCGCCATGCCAAGCCCCCAACCATCCTACCCGACCTAACCATCTCCCACCTGCTAATCTATCAAAATCACCTCCCACTCGCCGCTCCAGCCTTCGTAATCGGCCCAACCCCCGAGCCACAGCTTGTCTGTTGAACCCTAGCCACCCTTACTGACCTAACCACTTCCCACATCCCCAGTCGCCCCAGCCAGCCTTCCCAAGTTCAGCTGCGCCATACTACCCATCCCTGGCAAGCGATGTGACACACAGATTTTGAACTACCAAGGCCATGGCGGCCTTGTCATTGTCATTCTCAAGAATCGCTCACAAGGACAACCGATCCCTGGCGGGCCATGTGAGACGCGGCAGTAAACCCTCGCGCGGGGAGCGGAGCTGCTGATGCCGTTGAGGCATGGTGGTTGGCCTCACAGCAAAGCCGTTGAGGCATGGTGGTTGGCCTCACAGCAAAGCCGTTGAGGCATGGTGGTTGGCCTCACAGCAAAGCCGTTGAGGCATGGTGGTTGGCCTCACAGAAAAGCCGTTGAGGCATGGTGGTTGGCCTCACAGCAAAGCCGTTGAGGCATGGTGGTTGGCCTCACAGCAAAGCCGTTGAGGCATGGTGGTTGGCCTCACAGCAAAGCCGTTGAGGCATGGTGGTTGGCCTCACAGTAAAGCCGTTGAGGCATGGTGGTTGGCCTCACAGCAAAGCCGTCGAGGCATGGTGGTTGGCCGCACAGCAAAGCCGTTGAGGCATGGTGGTTGGCCTCACAGCAAAGCCGTTGAGGCATGGTGGTTGGCCTCACAGCAAAGCCGTCAGTCACCCGCTGCCAGGTATGTGCCTGCTTTTCGCCCCACTGTGGTAGTTAATAATGCAATCATTATAGGGATTTTGGTGACGCTTCATGAGTCATGTCGACCGTGACTGTGCATGCTCTGCTCTGTCAGTTCACTCACGTTAGGATCTGGGGAAAGGGTTTTTGAGTCGACTAAAAAATCGCTTCATGAGTCATGTCGACCGTTGTTGTGCATGCTCTGTCAGTTCGCTCACGTTAGGGCCTCGGGAGAGGGTCCGTCATGGCGCTGCTGCTGTCGACCGTGACTGTGCAGTCTCGGTCAGTTGGCTCAGTTGGGTTCTCATCAATCTCACTGTGCTATGAGAATGATGAGGCGGAGTAGGCCTGGGCATGGCGCTACTGCTGGCCATGCAGTGGCTGTGAGCTAGGCTACCACTCAAGAGTACCGCTCACCTCACTTCACCAATTGTCCCCTTCTCTCACCCCTTCCAACACCTTTCCTTCCACCTTCGCTCGCCATGTTGCTTGTTGCAGCTTCCAGGTGCCATCGGTGCAGCAGCCTGCTCGCGGACCATCAACTGCTAGAGTTGAGTTTTGAGTCGACTCAAAAGTCCATCGATGCAGCAGCCTGCCCACGAACCATCAACTGCCAGGCGACCGACTCTCTTGCGAGCATCAATTGCAAGTGAACAGACAGTTCTTTGGTGCATCCACTACCATGCCCACACTCACTGAGGTTCAGTCATGCACACACAGCTCATGGACTTAGTTCATGAGTGAATTTGCTTGTCACTCTTGTGCATGCATGCAAGCTGTTCACTCTCATGCGCGCACTCACTCTCATGCGCGCACACTCACTCTCATGCGTGCACACTCACTCTCATGCATGCACACTCACTCTCATGCGCGCACACTCACTCTCATGTGCGCACACTCACTCTCATGTGTGCACATTTCATGCCGGCAGGTGAGTGGCAGCTGACCAGCATCAAGGTGTGTGTGTTGCTGAGTTAGGTAGTGTCGGTTTGGGTCCTGTCCTGAGCTGAAGGGGGGTGTGGTGCGAGGGGCGTGGTGAAGGGGGCTTGGTGAAGGGGGCGTGGTGAGGGGGGCGTGGTGAGAGGGGCATGCCGCTTGTCTGTGCATGCCGCTTGTCTGTGCATGCCGCTTGTCTGTGCATGCCGCTTGTCTGTGCATGTTGCTTGTCTGTGCATGCCGCTTGTCTGTGCATGCCACTTGTCTGTGCATGCCACTTGTCTGTGCATGCCACTTGTCTGTGCATACATGCATGCATGGTCCTGGTACCACGCTTTCCATGCTGCAGCACAATCACCATCTCCCATTTCCCGTCTCTCACTGCCCATGGCCCATCGTCCATCTGTGTGCATGCAGGGGTGGTGACGAAGGGTGTGTTCATTGACTTGTATGACTCTTCACATCCCCCACAATTTTCACGGTGTCGAACTATAAAGGGCCACTGGATGATGACATGTCCACGATGAGATGAAACGAGCACAATGAGTTGAAATGAGCATGGTGAGATGAAACGAGCATGTTGAGATGAAACGACCTTGATGAGATGAAACAACAGTGGTGAGATGAAACAACCACCAGCACGCACCCATGCCATAATCCATTTAATCATTACGTTGCTCTCTTTATCATTCCGCTACCTTCTCTTTTGTTTTCTTCTCTCCCCGACTCCTCTCCTTGCCCCTCCCAGCTCACACTCAACTCCCTCAACTACACTCTCTCACGGCCAGACATTGAGACAGAAGAGAGCTACTAGTGTTTTGAGGCACCCTATAACGAAACGATTCCGAGAGCTTCCAGTGTCTGAAGGCACCTTATATTGAAGCCGAGTTACTGGTACAAGGTACCAGAGGCAGCCCCAAGCTCATGCTTTTCTATGATTAGAACTAAATGATATTGGCCCATTTTACAGTTGAGTCACAGCATTGAGAATGATTCTTTGGAAATACCCTTTTCAGTCCTGGATGCGTCCATGCATGTCCTACACGTAAGGCATGTTGGGCTGAAAAAGCCCTTAGGATCTTTGCAGGGGTGAACTCTGGGTAGAGTTGGTGTAGTAGCAGAAGCGTTAATAAAGAGTTGTGAACCACCTTGCGCTAGTATGTGAGGGCAAAGTAAGTTGATTAAAACAAGGAGATACAAGAATATGTATGAATACAGGGATTATGAAAAGACACCGTTATAACTACTTCACTATTGCTGTTGCGGTTCGATACAGTGACGACTCGGTCAACTGCTCTGTAACGAGTCAGTTGTGTGTCCTTGCTGTCGCGCTGTATTTGTCAGGTCAAAGGTCACTGATCTTTGACTTTCGCGTAACCTCCAGCGGTTACTTCAACCTCCGAGGGTTGACTCGCTGGTGCCTCGATATGCTTTGCTTCGCTTGTGCCTTGGTGTTTTGACACGATAGAAGCGCTTAGGACCGATTGTTTCCAACACTCCCCTTCGCTTGTGGAGTGTCGCTGACGTGGCTCTGTCCAGTCAGCAGCATGCAGTATTCGAACTTCTGCTTTCCGAGCTTCTTGGTCAGGTAGTCAACTGCCATCTCGGATGTGGAGCAGTATGACAGCTCGAGCCTTCCCTTCTCGATCTCGTCCTTCACGAAGAAATATCACAGGGCGATGTATTTCGTCCTGTTCGCGAGGCCGTTCTTGTTAGCGATGCGAATTGCCGACTGGTTGTCGCAGAATAGGGTAAAATTGGGTAACTCGGTTAACTTCGCTTCTTCCAGCAACTCGCGAAGATAGAGTCCTTCCTTGGTGGCTGAGCAGAGTGCAATATATTCTGCTTCAGCTGACGAGAGAGCAATTAGTTCTTGCTTGTTCGATTGCTAGGAGATAGGTCCGATAGTTTCGAGGCGGTAGATGTAGCCGGTGCGCGATCGTCTGTTGTCGGAGTCGCCCGCGAGATCTGCGTCGACGTAACCGATTAGCTTAGTTGTTGTAGTTGCGTTCTTATGGTAAGTCAGGCCGACCGTTGGGATACTGACAAGGTAGTGGAGAGCGCGGTCGAGCTCCGCCAGATGTTCTACTTCAGGCTTCTTGAGGTAGGTGGCGAGCTGGCTTGCAGAGTAGGATAGATCTCGGCGGCAGGTGACAATTGCGAAGAGAAGGCAGCCCAACTTTCTCTGGTAGTCGCGTATGCTGGCGGGCTTGAGTAGAGCGGAGCCTTCCTTGTTGTTTTCTATCGTGTAGTGGTACGGTGTGGAGATAGCAGTCGGTGTGAGTGTGAAACGCTTGGCGATGGTTGTCAGAATATTATGCTCTAGCCTGTAGTGGGGTGCTCTATAGCGAGTATAACCCTTCTAGGGTTTGCTATTTGTATCCCCAATCTTGCTAGTGCAATCGCCCTTCTTTTGCCTAAACTATTCTTGCCTAGCTAGGGCTTTCCTAGCCATGGCTCCTACCTCCTAACCACCTACCTATTTTCACATGGTGATCAGAGCAGTAAGCTCATGGCCTGTGGGCCCCACCACGCTCCTTCCGCTGCAACTTCCACTGCTACTCTCTGTGCCGCACGCCCCGTGGCGTGCGGCAGTTTTTCTTCCCGCCGTGCGCCCCGAGGCGCGCGGCGGTTTTCTGCCCGCTGTGCGCCCCGGGGCGCGCGGAGCGCTTCTGCCCCGTCCCTTACCGCGTCGCCCTCGGGAGGCGCTGCGAAGGGCGACGGGGACCTCCGCGTCGCCCCCTGTCGCCCGTCGTGGCCTGCGCGCGGCCCGTACAGGCTGCGCGCAGCCCGTACGGGCTGCACCAGGCCCGGACGCGGCCGCGTCGCCCCACCCCTCCTACAGCCCGTTCTCCTGAATTAGGGTTTGGGGGTGAGGGGTATGGGGGTGAAGCCACTATGTGCTGTTCCCTGCTCCTCCTCCTCCTCCGTCTCCCTGTGCTGCAGCTGCCGCTGAGGGGGGGTGGACTAGTTGGAGCCATTGGAGTGGTACTAAGGGGGGGTGAAGGGGGAGTGGAGCCAGCGGTGTAGCAGCGGGTGTGTGTCAGGGGGAGTGGGATAGTTTGGGGAGGTTGAAGGGGGTGGCCGCCGTGAAGCCAGCAGCTCCAATCGCCCGTGAGACCGTTGCGCCATTCGCCCATGAGCCCGTTGCGCCAGTCGTCCGTGAGCCCATTGCTCCACTCGCCCGTGAGTCCGTTGCTCGTCTGCCGCTACTTTTAGCCGCGGAGCTAGTTACTCCAGTAGCCCGTGTGCCATTTGCTCTAGTTGCCAGTGTGCCAGCTGCTCCAGTTGCCCGTGAGCCAGTTGCTCCAGTTGCGCTGTGTGCCAGCAGCTTCAGCTGCCGCCCACTACCCCCTCTCCTCTCATAGTCTCTTTCCTCCTCCTCACTTGCCCGTTGTGACTACCACTAGCTTTGCTCATAATTGTGAACTTTAAACTAATGCTTCTTGAACTTGTGCTCAGAATGTGTGGTGACATTGTGATCCACCCTGAGCTTGTACTACTTTGCTTGCTCTGCTGATTACACCCCACTTTGGCTATGGGGGTGTGTCAGAATATTATGCTCTAGCCTATAGTGGGGTACTCTATAGCGAGTATAACCCTTCTAGGGTTTGCTATTTGTATCCCCAATCTTGCTAGTGCAATCGCCTTTCTTTTGCCTAAACTATTCTTGCCTAGCTAGGGCTTTCCTAGCCATGGCTCCTACCTCCTAACCACCTACCTATTTTCACAATGGTGTCGGCGTATTTCGCGGCGCTGAGGTAGATGGCGTCTTCCTCTTCCTTGATGTTGAGGACGAGGTACTGTGTGACGGTAGATGAGACCGTGAGTGTGAGGTCTTGCTGTAGCTCCCCTTCGAACCAGGTTGTAATGCCGTCGGTTGAGCCGATGTAAAGCAGATCGTCTACATAGACGATTAGCAGGATGTAGTCAGTACCCTTCGTGAGCCGGTACATGCCCTGGTCGTGCGGCAATTGCTTGAAGCCGATGCGAATGAGGCGAGCGTGTAGGTATTGTTGCCATAGTCGCAGAGCTTGCTTGATGCCGTAGAGTGACTTGAGTAGTTGACAGACGTGGTCCGAGTCCGAGGTGGAGCCGTGTGGTAGCTCGACGAAGATCTCTGTGTCAACAGGTGCGTAGAGGAATGCGTAAGCGACGTCAATTTGCCGCAGCTTCTTCTTCTTCATGGCGGCGATCGCAAGAAGGATGCGTAGCGAGGTGTGTCGACTGACCAGAGCGAATGTTTCGGTGAAGTCGCATCCGTGCTCTTCGTCGAAGCCGCGTATGACCCAGCGTGCCTTAAATTTGTCGATGGTGCCGTCAGCCCTTGTCTTCACACGGAAGACCCACTTCCCGGTAAGCAATGTCTTGTTCCGTGCCACGCCGATAGGAACCTCTTTGTATGTGTTGCGTTCCTCCAGTGCCTTCAGCTCCTTGTCCATGGCTTCGCGCCACTTTTCCTTATATTCCCCCCTCACAGCCTGCTGAACCGTCGCAGGCTCTTTAGGAGTGGCGGAGCCATGGACTGCGGTGGCGAGTCCAAGAATGTGCAGTCCACTCTATGAGTAGCGGGGAAGATTTACGTCCTCGGGATAAGCTGCTTCATCTACCGCTTCTAGATCAGGTATGAAATTCGGTCCTGCTCGTTCTGCTTCGTTGGTGTTGACTGTCGCAGGTATTACGTAACCGTTGTCGGCGAAATGGTAGAAGGTTTCGG